AAAAAAAAAAAAAAAAAAAAAAAAAAAAAAAAAAAAAAAGCTTTAAAATGTATTCAAGACTCCAGACGGTCCTTCTCATATTGCAGAAGGTCTTTTTTTTTTTAAAGTAAATTTTTAAAATTTAAGTTAGAAACAAGCTCGTTTTACAAGTCAATCACAGTTCCCTCTCTCTCCCCTCCTCCCCAGGTCCCCACCAATGCCCTATCCCATCACATTTCTGCTGCACAGGAAGGGTGAAGCCTTCTATGGGGGAACTTTCAAAGTCTGTTATATCCTTTGGAGCAGGGCCTAAGCATGAAGCCTTTATATACATAGCATTTTTTAATTCTATAATGCACACTAAGTTTAGATCCCAAGCTAAAAATAGAACTACATGATAACTCCATACATTCAAAATTTAGGTTCACAAGGATTATAAAATAAATGGAAACATCACATTAATTTTCAATATTAAAATCATGATAGATTAAAACTCTGTAGCTTAACAGGAAACTGAAACTAATGACATCGTCTTTATTAACTATGGCCAACAGATCTATTTGGGAATCTTTGAAATCAGAGAAAAATATAAAGTCATGTACTCAGGATTTCCATTTACCTCCAAGATTCTCTGGTCTCATCAATGCTTGCAGGAAACTCTGTCCTTTGCTTCAGCAATTCTGTGTCTTCGTCTTCTCAGCACTCTGCACAGTGGCTGTACTTCTAGATGGTAACCAACCACAGTGTAACCAACTCCAAGCGCCTCTGAACTGAACAAATCCTGCAGTTGAAAACCCTTTATATTAGAGAGCTGGAAGCCCCACCCTAAGGTGGAGTGTTTAAGTGTTATCCTGATTTAATTAACTTCTATAATCTCCTTCCTTATCGCACCTGATACACCTGGAGTGATGTTTTAGCCCTCATGGCTGTTTCGCTGTTCTGTTATGCATGATGTGGGCCACCTCACTGACATTTCCATTGATGACATGTTAATAAATTCAAAGAAACTTGTCATGATGGCAAATCTTGGTTCATCTAACATCTAAGCTCCTAGGCACTCCAGTAAGGAATTCTTTTTGTCTCTGTCTCTGTGTCACTGTCTATCTCTCTTTGCTTCAGTGAAATAGAGTCTCTCTGTTATGTAGCTCTGGCTGTCTTGGAACTTACTATATACACCAGGTGGGACTCCAATTTGCAGAGATCTACATGCCTCTACCTCCCATGTACTGGGATTAAAGGCATGTGTCACCATACCTAGATGACTAAGAAATTTTCCCAGTCAAATAATTTGGAGAAGGAAAATTCACTCCAAATCTAAGCCACATAAAAGGATATGGAAGAAACTTTTGGTTTGTGCTTACTTAGCCTCACTCATGCTGGAAATTTTGTCTGTCTTATTGCTGTCGCCAATATTAAATCTAACTTCATCAGGATTCCCACATAGACTGAAGAAGAGCAGCTTTCCAGGAATCCTCCAGGAATCCAGAGCCATATTTGGACTGCAGAAACATCCAGCCTCAAGGGCTGAACAGCTATTACATTCTGAGCCTTCTGGTTGTGAGACAGCCATTGTCAGGCTACTCAGAACACATCTTATAACACAATCTAGTAAGATCCTTGATAATTGTACAGTCAGTTTATCAGTCCTTTTCCTTTAGAGAACCCTGACTAATCCATGATTTCAAATATCACAATGAAACCTACTCTTCTAAAATATACAAATTTTAAACATCTATGTACTTAGTTTTATTGAAGATAGTTTATGCATTTTGGAGCTTAGGATAAATATCTTGGAACAGATTTGATTTTTGTAAAGGTTAGAAAGCATTGTTTGAATTAGCTACAGCCCAGTTTGTTGAATTCCACCATGATCCTACTACTGTCTCTTTCTTCCCTTGACCTGGTCACCTACTTTTCAAGGTCAAACCCAGAGTCTGTTGTTATAGCTTTATCATCTAATCATCCAAAAAGTTCCTTTAGTCATTTGCTGTTGGACAAGCCTGTCTAGTTCTGAGAAAAAGTAAGTATTCTTCACAGTAGGTATGTAGTGAAAAGGACTAGAGTCTCGCTGGAAGTTTTTCTCAGGTAGCTTGTGGCTTAAGCATGGAATTAACACTGATTTGTTTTGTTTTATTTTGTTTTTGAGACAGGGTTTCTCTATGGCTTTGGAGGCAGTCCTGGAACTACCTCTTTCCGCCCAATAGTCCTGGGGCAGGTACCAGGTGGACCCGAGGACTCGCCCAGAAGGGCGTGGTGAAGGAAAGCCGGGGTGACGTAAGGGATCTTATAAATGGCAATGCAATTCAAGAAAATAGGGTATGATTTTCTTGTGTCTGGGAGAACAAGGTTTATACTCTTATTAAACGAAGTAGGCTGTTCTCAGCCAAATTTAGTTGTTCATGGACAATAACTATTTCATACTTTTTAATTCAATGGAATAAAGTACAGGATTCTTTTACTTTTCTGACAATCATCTCCATTATAAAATTGTTAGCTACTATCTTTCTTTGTACTTTGCCTTTTGTTTGGGGATCCTGGAAAAATACTGTTAAAGAAAGGCTGGGGGCTCTCTTGAACATTTACCATGTCTCACTGTCTCCTTCACCTGAAGACATGCAGACTGACACCATCACCAGGAAAGCATGGCACCACTGGGCCTTCACTGGCTCCTTTGTGATGCTAGTGATCTGTTGACATGGGGTTGCCTAGTCTACATGTGTTGGTTTTACATCTATCTCCTTGAGGAAGTTTTCCCTTGAAGGGAGGTGAAGTTTAAAACTAGATAATGTGGACCTTGCTGGCTACTGTTACAAGTCTGAATTTTGTTTTTAAGTTTAAAGGGAAGCTTTGGAGTGATCTGACTGTTGCCTTAGGAAGAACATTGCCTTTAGTGAAATACATATATACATATTTAAAAGAGAGAAGGTAGAAGAATGCTGTTGAAGATGGAAAGCAGCTGTGTTTTCTTTGCAGAATCATTACAGTCTTGTGAAGTTTTGGATGTGGGATGTGAAAGAAACTGAGAAGTAAGATGAAAACCTGATGTGAATGATGAGGTGAATACAAAATTGAAAGGCCAGCCATTACCACCAGCAGAAAGGGTAATGCGTGCTCAGCTGGCAGGAAGGATAT